CCCGCACCCGCACCCGTTATCTACCAATCCGCCCCCGCTCCCGCCCCTGTCATCTATCAATCCGCGCCCGCGCCTCCCGTGATTGTCCAACAACGCAGCAGCGGTATGGCCGTCGGCGGCGGCGCGACCGCGGGGATGCTCGCAGGCATGGCCGGTGCTTTGGTGGCCGAGGGTATGAAGCATCATAATCACGGACATCATCACAACCATGGGCATCATCATCATGGAGGGACGGAGGTGATCATTGAGCAGAGCAGCGGGTTTTTCGGTGGGAGCACGACGGTTATTGAGCAGTTTGGTGGCGGGAATCATCATCATGGGCACCATGGGGGACATCACGGACATCACGGGCATCACGGGAACCACCATCATCACTGTTGATGAGGTGTGTGTGGGGGATGGGGAGGTAGAAGGAGAAGTGGTGAGAGTAGGGAGATAGAGAGGGAGGGAGGTATAGTGTTTAGTAGCACTGGTACTGTAGTTTCAATTATTATAGTCTATGAAGTTCGATGCCTTACCTATCGTCTATCCTATATCATATCTATAAATTCATCAAACCCCTCCAGCTCACCGCCGCCGTCCCCACGATCAATGCCCCCTCCGTAAGCATCCCCCAACCCGTAAAGTATTGGTTCTTAATCATCCAGTTGCCTGGGATGAGGGGCGATAGGGTGCCGAGGTGGAGGTATGAGACGGCGCCGATAGAGAGGAAGATGAGGACGCCCAGGAGGCGGTGAAGGCGCCACCTTTTTGGGGATACTCTGTCGGTAGGATGGAGAGGAGACGGGATGGGGTGGGGGAAGGCATGGGAGGGAGCGGAAAGGAGGTCGGGACGGACCGAATGTAGGTGATAAGAGAGGTGGGTGAAAGGATATGCAGGGTAGAATACAGGGGGCAAAGGTAGGGGCAAGGTAGCGTTAGTACGACAGGGTCCGTGCCCCGGCCCTCTCCCCGGCCTCTCAGTACGAACTTACTTCAACTGCCTTGCAAACATCCCAAAGAGCGCTTGTCCCAGAGCCGCGAGGATGATGGTGTACCCCGCGAGGCCGTGATAGGTAGTGGCGTGTTCCTTCTTGTTCATCTCCTTGACGTAGTAGATCACCTTATATAAGGAAGCAGTCAGGTTCAGCAAGGCCACCGGTCCCTCGCGACAAGCATCACTCCCACCTCCCTTAACAAAGTATACTCACAAAAGCTCCCAGACACGCACAGCTCACAGCCGCGAACCCGAGACTCGCATGCAGGTCGATCTGATCCGTCCTCGACATCTGTTTCTTCTTCTCCTCATCCTTGTCCTTTTTCTTAGTCCCGGTCCTTCGCTTTCTCCGCAACGCGATGCTGGCCTCGGACGCGCAGGCGAGGAATAGGGACATGGAGATGGGGTGCAGGGAGAAGAAGGAGAGATCTTGAAGGGTCGTGAGCGTCACGAGGGCGACGAGAGACCACACGGAGGTGCGGATGAGAGGGTCGAGCATGGCCGTGGTGGCGTGACGGATGACACGAGGCGTTGATTGACAAGATGCGAATTTGACAATCCTCCCAGCTATCTCGTTTAAAAGGGAGCATATATGTTAATGAGCCCAATTGGGGCCAAGCCACCAACCGGAATCGCCTTCTTAGCTCAGCGGTAGTAGCGTCTGCCTCGTAAGCAGAAGGTCACCTGTTCGAACCAGGTAGGAGGCAGATGATGTCATCAAACAAGTTTGTTTATTTTATTTAGGTGGGGTACGAAATATACAGACGCTCGGAGGAAGTCAAGCGGAGCATACAATGCTCGACCTGAAAGGTCGGGTGTTCAATCCACCCAGAAGGCAACCTTCTTTTGATGTTAGCAAAAGCCTTTTTTTTTTTTTATTTTTTATTTTTTCCCCAGTGTGAGGAATGATGCGTGTAATAAACCACACTTCATCATCGTTTTTAGCGATTCGTATCTCCACGCTCTCGTTTGCCGCCGTTCGGATTTTCGAAGACTTGGGCCTGCGATGATTCTGTACACTTTTTTACGGCGAGGTTGGAAGGCGTCGCATTCGTATTGTCGTGCGTGGGCGATGACGTCGCCTCGGACGCGGTTTGGGAGCGCACTCGGTCAAAGGGACGTTGACGAATCTTCCTTGCACGATTTTGTTACAGAAGGCCAACACGAAGTCGAGTATTTCAGTTGCTTTTGATGTTATGATATTGATGTTATTAAACGAATTTACTGTTGATATTCTGCAACGGCGATGCCTTTTAATAATGCTATGATCGAGAAGCCTCGAAACGATACGGGCGTATAGTACCACCGGGAAAGAAATGATTGCATATGTTGAAGTTCATACAGAACGATGCGTGCAAGTCAGCAAGCCGACGAAGTTTGTGGTTGCGCAGTGGTGGAAACGAAACGAAAAAAAAGTAAACGCGGCGGTTCAGCGACTATTGATCCGCAATTCCATCCTCAGACATAGCCGTCCTGCTGCTCCCGAACACCGACGAAGAGGCGCCATTCCCAGCGCCACGATGCTTCAATTTGTTAGCGCGGTGGATCTCCCCTGTCCGGATTGACGAAATAAGCTCGTCCATAACGCCCTTCCGCTCGCTGTTGAGAATGTCCAGGCTGCCGGAGGCGTCTGGCGTCTGCCGCATGGTCTAGAGAGAGGAGGGTGTGAGTGGATTGAGAGCGCGGAAGCGGCGCGCAAAACTAAGTTTACCTTGCGCGTCAAGTCGATACCGCTCGCGAGGGACGAAGGGTCAGCGGAGAGGCGGTGGCTGACTGTCGTTGGGTTCTTCGCAAGCTTCTCGGCGCGCTCCGCCGCCTTCCGCTGGTTCTCGGCCTCACGCTCGTTCTCCTTCCGCGCCCTCTGTGGAAAAAAAAAAATCGTCAGTTCACAGTTTCGACGCATGAAGAATCGAAGTATAACACCCTCACCTCCAAATCCGAAGCAAACTTGTGGAACATCCCAAATAAGTTCTCCGGGGTCGACGTGGTGGCGTCCTCGCCGAAGTAGGTGGCCGCGGCCTTAAAGGCCGACTCCGCGTCCGTGCGCCTCTTCTGGAGCTCGCCTATGGCATCCTGGTGTTGGGCTCGGAAGGCAGCAAACACCTGGACGAATTTATCGTTGGGCGATGCGGAGGACTTGTGCTCCTGGTGCCAGGCGATCTCCGACTCAAGGTCGCGGAAGCCCTTCACGAGATCATTGATGTCTTGAGTCGTCTGAGCGAGGGAAACTAGGAAGAAACGTTAGGTATGGTCAACAACGAAGCAGGAATACATACTTTTCGAGGCTTTCTCGAGGCCGGATAGCTCGTTGAGAAGATTCTTGCACTCCGGAAGCTTCTTGTCGATCAGGCCGACGAGATAGTGAAGAAAGGTGGTCTTGCCATTGGCCGACTTCGTCTCACCAAGCTACGCGCGGGAATGAGAATCAAAATCATTTCATAACATGTTGAGATATTTACCTTCAACAGAGTGTCAATAGAAAACCCGTACGCCCCACCACGGAAGCTGTCGCCGTTCATGTAGTTGCCGACGGCGAGGATAAGCTCCATGACCTTTGCAAGGTTCTTCGACTCTTTCACCACCCGCGACGCATTTAAAAGCGCGTGGACGTTCTTTAAGGGAAAATGGCAAGGTCAATTACGGACAAAAGCTGGCTGCGCACAGACTAACTCACAGGTTGAAGGTCCTCAATCCTTTCGGCGAATTTGATCTTGAAGTACATAGAGTCGAGGCGCTGCTTCAGCCTGCTAACCTTCGCCAACTACACGGATTGCATGAGCACCCCTTGTTTTTCAGTAAAAATCCGAAATTGCAGACCTCCAAGAAAAATAGCTCGGCCTTCCCGAGCTCCTTCATCCTTTCCTCCGCCGTCGAACCGTCGCTCCGGTCGTTAACGTAATCTCTGATGGTTGCAATTTCCTGCTCCGTCGGGACGAAGGCCATAAACTGCTTCACGAGGTTCTCCGGCAGGGCCTCGGCGGCCGCGAGGATATCCTCACGGATCTCGGAGAACGGGAGCTTGATCCGGCTGAGCATGATGCCTGATACCCACAACAGAAGTCAGTAAGTAGCCCTACAAAGAACCGACGAAGTAACGCAAATGTACTCACAGCAGTTGTTCTGCCTCTTCGCATCCAACAAGCAGACGGCTTGCTTCCCAACCGGGCTCTTAATGGTCTGCTGCCTCCCCGCGACCTCACCGCCGGTCGGCTTGTTCAACGCCTCCTTCGACCCGAGATCGGTGCTGCCGAACAGCTCCTCCAGCTCCCCAACGTCGAGCCTCTCGCTCCGGATCCTCTCCTCCTCCTTCCCGCCGCCCTCGGCGAGACGCGTCCACAACGTCCCCTCGACCTGGTGCGCCTGAATCTTGGTCCACGCGAGCGGGCGCATGCGGACACGCGGGGTGACGCGGGGTTTGGCGGGGAGAGCGGCGGCGGCGCCGGGCGCGGAC